ATATACAATAACCTGTGGTAGACTTTCTGGTAGTTGGATCACCAGCCCAATCAGCATCAGAATATGCACAAAGCTCTAACTTAGATGTAGCAGGAAACAAAAGTGAGCGAGTGCTAGTACCCCGGAGGTACCGAAGAATCCGTAATAAGACAGCATAGTGTACAGAACGTGGGGCACTAACAAATTGACTGACAATACCAACAGCATGAGAGATATCTGGTCGAGAGATGCACAAATAGACCAACTGACCAACAAGATGTCGATATCGGGTAGGATCAGATAGAGGCTCACCGTCAGTAGAGCAAAGTTTGACATTCTGCTGGAGTGGAGTATCGACAGTTGTATTATCAGTTAACTCAGCTTGATTTAGAATATCTGAGAGATACTTCTGTTGAGACAGTAATACACCCCGCGGGCCTTGAGAAATTTCTAGACCAAGGAAATACCGAAGAGATCCAAGATCCTTCATGTGGAACTGTTGTTGCAACTGAGATTTTGCGTATTGTATACCTGTCATATCATCACCTGTAATGATCATATCATCTACATAGATGAGTAATAAAACCCTGCCACGCGATGTAGTGCGAACAAACAGAGAAGCATCTTGATGACTTTCTATAAAGCCCGCTTTGAGCACAACATCGCGAAAACACTCAAACCAAGCGCGGGGTGCCTGTTTGAGACCATAAACAGCACGACGAAGGAGACATACATGTCCCGGAGGAATATTTGACCCTGGAGGCGGTTGCATATATACGGTCTCTGATAAAGAGCCATGAAGAAAAGCATTTTTGACATCCATCTGGTATAAGGGCCAACGATGAGCAGCAGCGACCGCAAGGAGAGTACGCACAGTGGGCATCTGAGCAACAGGAGCAAAGGTCTCCTCATAATCAATACCTTGTTGCTGAGTAAAACCTCTAGCCACTAAACGAGCTTTTCGACGTTCAATGGTGCCATCAGGACGAAACTTGACCTTATAAACCCATTTACTGCCAACAAGAGAGATCCCAGGAGGACAGGGAACAATATCCCAGGTATGAGTTTGCTGAAATGCTTGAAATTCCTCAGCCATAGCTTGTCGCCACTCTGGAATTTGAACTGCCTCTTGGAAGGACTTTGGCTCAACAATAGTATGAATGGCAGCAAGAAAGTTATGAAAGATAGGTGAATAAGAAGTAACAGAAGCATACCGGGCAGGCATGACATGTGGGCGTTTGCCTCGACGAAGAGCAAGAGGAACCTCAGGCGGGGGAGATGCTGGCGCAGGTGCATGAAGATCAACAGTATTTTCTGGAGTGAGAGTTGTGTCCACAGGATATGGATTAGATGGTGTAAGAGAAGACTCAGGTGAGGAAGAGTCAACAGAAGGAGAGGGAGAGATGTCAGGGAGATCTCGAAAGGAAAATTGAGGTGAAGAAGTGGGTGATGCAGTGGACGGGGAAGCATGATCGGTAGAGTGGAGGAAATTAAAGTCATCAGAAGTAGAATAATATGGAGAATCCTCTTCGAACTGAACATGACGAGATATATGAACTCGACGAGTTGCGGGATCATAACAACGATAACCTCGATGTTCTGAACTAATTCCTAAATAAACACAAGAAACTGCTCTGGGAGACAATTTATCACGTTCGTGAGATGGCAGAAAAACAAAACATCGACAACCAAAAACGCGAACTAGATCATAACGGGGAGGATGAGTATAAACACGACTATAAGGAGTAGCACCGGAAAGAGAGCTAGATGGAGTGATATTAATGGCATGAGTCGCGGTGAGAATAGCCTCAGCCCAGAAACGACGAGGAACAGAGTAAGAAATGAGCATTGATCGGGCAGTATCGAGGATATGACGATGTTTGCGTTCAGCAACACCATTTTGCTCATGAGTGTAGGGACATGACTGTTGAAAGATAGTCCCATGAGAGGACATGATAGAGCGCATGGCAGAGGATAGGTACTCTTTGGCACAATCAGAACGAAAAACTTTAATACGAGATTGCCATTGAGTGAAAATCATAGCAGTGAAGGCTTGATAAGCAGTAAGTACGTCAGAGCGATTCTTAAGTAGGTAAACCCATGTAAAACGAGAGAAATCGTCGATAAAACTAACATAATATAAGTAGCCAGATGAAGAAGGCAAAGGAGCTGGCCCCCAAATATCAGAATGTACTAAATCAAATAAGGAAGTGGATACAGATGTACTCATTTTAAATGGTAAAGCAGTGAATTTAGCCAATTTGCAACCAGCACATGACTCAATACTAGAACTAGATGATACAGGACCAAGTACTCCAGACTGAATAAGACTCTCCAGCCTTTTATTACACACATGACCAAGTCGTCTATGCCATAAATTGGCAGGAAGCGAGGTAGAGGGTTTTGACGAACAAAGAGAAGCAACAAGAGAACGTGGACGTATGGACTCTGGAAGGTGAAGATATTCCAGAAAATACAGTTTGTGCCTCCTACGACCCGCCCCAACCGTCTTGCCCGTCTGTGGATCCTGCACAATACAAGTATCAGAAGAAAATGAGACAAACAGGCCCGCCATGCATAAAGAGCTAATAGAAATTAAATTCAAGCACAATTGTGGAGCCACATAGACGGGACCAAGTGTTAGACGACCAGATGGATCATTTTGTGGGGTAATAGAGCCATACTGAGTAATGGACAATGGTTGTCCAGCAGCTGTGTAGATAGGAGGAAGAGAGGATGAAGTAAAGACAGAGGATAAAAGTGAGGCATTACAAGTCATATGAAAGGAACAACCAGAGTCAAAAATCCAGAGATCATTCATACCAGAGACTGAAGGATTAGCTGAAGAACCAGCAAAATGCATACCAGAGAGTTGTGCGGCGGATGTAGAGGTGATATGTTGAAAAGCATCAAGTTGACGGCGAAGACTTTCAATAGCTTGAATAGTAGAGTCTGAAGTAGTAGAAGGTATAGCATTGGCCAACAATCCTGGTGTACGAGAGGGTTGAGACTGAGGGGGTCGCCGACCACGTCCAGTACCTGAGGAACGTAACTCAGGATGAAGCTTGAAGCATGTCTCAATGCGGTGTCCTTCCTTCTTACAATATTTGCAAGAGAGCTTAGATCGAGCCTGTGGAGAGGGAGCCTGTGGAGAAGTATAATTCATAACAGGAGCAGTGACAGGTACAGACAAAACAGTCTCGAGTGAAGAGGTAGGAGTGTCTGTTGACAAATTGAGTCGTGCTGTCTGCTGCCGGGTCTCATAAGCAGTGAGAGCTCCCATAACTGAGGCCAAAGTCGGAAATTGAGGCTGGTGAAGTAGTTGATCAGCCATAGTTGAATATTCAGGAAGGGACTGAAACAATTGATGCACCTCATGCCGTTCGTACCAGGCTAGCCAGTCTTCATATGTGGAATTACGTCCAGGAAGCATGGAGCGTAACTCTGTCCAAAAAGCTTGCATTTGTCCAAAATGGGACTGCAGAGATGAACTACCTTTGCGTTGTAGAGAAATGCGTTGCAGAAGATATGCCTCCCGTGCACCCGAGCACTCAGTGAAACGCTCAGTGAGACGAGTCCACATGGCCTGAGCAGAGGGAAGCGAGCCAATCTCGACAGTGAGACCAGAGCCAACACAGCGAGTGAGATAATCCATAACACGAAATTCCTGCAATTGCCACTCTGAACTCTCCTTGACATAGAGAGCACGAGCAGTCTGAAGATCGACATCACCACTGCCAGAGGCAATAGTACTGGATGAAGCAACAGTGCTGATGGACGGTGGAACTGGTCCCGTACTGGTGAGATGATCAAGCAAACCAGCGCCACGCAAGGCATTGGTGACAATGGTGGACCACCCTGCCCAGTCACTTTGATCATTGAGGGGCAAAGGTGGTTTGGGAATCTTCTCTGAAGGAGCCATAACAGCAATCTTGAGACGTTAAGATGTCGAGATGCTGTTACTAATGTCGTTCGTTTGAGGCCGAGAGACGGCTTGAAACGACGATGCCGTTAATTTGAGACCGAGAGACGGTCTTGAAACGACAATGCCGTTAAAATAGAACCCGAAGGTTAGAATGAAACCCGAAGGTTTAAAATAGAACCCGAAGGTTAGAATGAAACCCGAAGGTTTAAAATAGAACCCGAAGGTTAGAATGAAACCCGAAGGTTTAAAATAGAACCCGAAGGTTAAACGAGAACGCGAAACGCGTTAAGAGGCCGCAAAACGACAAGGCCAAAATATCTGGCAGATGAACGCCAAATAATTAAAAATAAAAATAAAAAAAATAAAACATTAAACGGCTGCAAAGCAATAAGGCCAAGATTTGGCAAAAGAACGCAAAAGCGTTAAAAATTTTATTGAAAGGGAAATAGCCCTAGCTCTGATACCATGTAAAAGTAAGAGAGAGAGAGAGAATCTTGGGTAAATTTCCCTTGAATTGAATATTGAGTGTGCACATATATTTATACAAGTAGAGGAGTGTGAGGTTTGTTCTCCCAAGCAATGTGGGACTAAAACCCACTACAATACACTATTATCAACAAGCTCTAATATAAAATCAAGAAAATATAGGGTCTAATATGACAAAAAAAAATTCCAAGTCCAAATTTGATGTTCAAAACTATCAATAAATCCATTAATAATTTGAGTCAACGGCGGCGCCCCCAGTCAAATGCCCCTTAAAAGTAGGCGTAAGACTTTAAGCAAACATAAAACTAACTAAAAAAACAGTTTACTTTCATATAATTCTTCACGTGATCTCATTTACCCTCCTCCTGTCTCTCTCCCACCCTTCTTTACTCCTCCAACCCCATACTTCACCCAAAAAAAAAAACAACCCCAAACATTTCTTCCTTAATTTCTCTCTCTAACAGAGCACAGAACTACAGAGGAGCAATTAAGTGCCCACAACGGTAGCAGCGGTTGGTCCTCTGCTGTTCTCATTAACTCCTCGCATTCATTACTCCTCTCTCATCTCCAAACAGCAAATATTCAAAAAAAAAAAAAAAAAAAAACCCCCAAAAAAAAAAAAAAAAAAAAAAAAAAAAAAAAAAAACGAAATGGATCCAAGCTGATGAATGAACCCAAACCCAGCAAACAGGGGGAAAAAAATGCTCCCTTTTCTCCTCCTCCTCCTCCTCTTCACTCTCGCATCAACTCAACCCTTAACCTCAACAACCGAATTAACCGCTCTCTACAGTCTCCGGTCAACTCTCGGCCTCCGGTCGAGGGACTGGCCGAGGAAAACCGACCCGTGTTCGGCCTGGAGAGGAGTCACGTGCCGCTCGGGCCACGTCATCGGGTTAAACCTCTCCGGTCTCCGACGAACCCGACTCGGCCGTACCAACCCTAGGTTCGACGTCGACGGTCTAAAAAAGCTCTCGCGCCTTGAATTTTTCAATTCGACAGGGTTCGCGCTTCCCGGTCCGGTCCCGGTCTGGTTCGGTTCGGAGCTTTCTCGGTCATTTGCTGTGCTTGTTCTTCGGTCTGCGAGGATTAACGGGTCGATTCCGTACAGTCTGGGACTGCTGGGTAACTTATCGGTTCTTGATTTGTCCGGAAATTTGATTTCTGGGTTCATTCCGACGTCCGTTGGCATTTTAACGAAGTTGGAAACGCTAATTTTATCGAATAATGAGCTTATTGGTTCTGTTCCGGCTCAGCTTGAAGATTTGCACGGGTTGAAGGATCTGAACTTGAGTCGAAATGAATTGTCAGGTTTGGTTCCGGATTTTATATGGTCTTTAGGATTGCAGATAATTGATGTTTCATCGAATAATTTTACTGGGGTTTTGCCGGATTCAGTTCAGACTGGTTCTAATCCTAATGTGAGCACTGCAGTGTTCAATTTGTCGAGTAACTTGTACTTTGGATCGGTTTCCGTTGGGTTTCAGATGTTTTTGCAGAGATTTGGTGTTGTTGATTTATCGTCGAATTATTTTCAAGGCACTGTTGCATTGGATGATAAGAGTAGGAATCAATCTGTTGGATTGAATTGCTTTAGAAACGAGCCGAATCAGAGAAACCCAATTGATTGCAAGGGTTTCTACAAAGAAAGAGGGATTGCTTATGATGGCCCTTCAACTCCACCTCCGAGTTCTTCTTCCAATGGGAAGAAGAAAAGCCAGCTATGGAAGTACATTTTGGCTGGGGTCTTGGGGTTTCTTGGTCTGTCAATTATATTGCTTCTATTCATTGCAGTTTACTTAATGAGGGCTGGAGCTCGAACTGCTGATCAACGAGGGATCGGTATCGGACCCGTGTCTTCTGAAATAACCCCGCCGCCACCTTCTAGGGCTCTTTCAGAGAACAAGAGTAATAACAGAGAAGTATTTAGCTATGACAAATTGATTCTTGCAACATCAGAATTTAGCGATACAAACCTTATCAAGAAAGGGCACTCTGGTGATCTCTACAGCGGTGTTCTTGAAAGTGGGTTTTCGATTGTAGTGAAGAGGATTGATCTGGCGACCGTTAAGCATGATGGGTATGTAGCAGAAGTGGATTTATTGGCAAAGGCTTCACATACGAGATTGGTTCCATTTCTTGGGCAGTGTTCGGAGAAGGAAAATGAGAGGTTTTTAGTTTATAAGTATATGCCGCATAGGGACCTGGCTAGTTCATTGTATAAGGAGATTAAGTCGGAAGAAGAGGAGTTGGCGTCATTGGATTGGATTACAAGATTAAAGATTGCAGTTGGGGTGGCTGAGGCTCTTTGTTTTCTGCATCATGAGTGCAATCCACCACTGGTGCATAGGTAAAAGCTCGCTTCTATAGGATATCATGAATTTGGCTCTGACTGAATCCACACTCCATATATATATCTTTTAATTTTCATTCTTAGACACCTCGGCTTTAACTTTTGTTTCCCACTCTTTTGCTTCATCTACCAATCATAAAAGCTAAGAATGTTCGAGGACAGCTATGTGTTTCACAAGGCCCTTTTCCTACTCCTTTTGTTTCCTACTATTTTTCTCATGCCATGCCAGTTGCCTGTCATCTGTTACTTTAACATACATATCTAGAAACACGCATTATTTTTAGTATCCTAATATCGAGCACTTGTAAACTATTGAGTAGAGAATGTATGGAAATGAGTAGTTCAATGTCGTCTTAGGGGAAGGAAGATAGCCCATCAATTAGCTTTACCAAAAGGGGATACGAACAACAAAAAGAAGATGTCTGCAGTCCGCTTATATAACTATGTTAAATGTCATCTATTTATGAATCATACTTTCTTATTTACCCATCTTTTTTTCTTTTGAATTAATGTGTCAAAATAGGATTCATATATAGTATTATAAATAGCAAACCTCGAGAGAAATAAAACCAAGTTAGGACTACTCTAATAAATTTTCAACTATAATTGCAGAGATGTACAAGCAAGCAGTATTCTTCTGGATGACAAATTTGAAGTCTCTCTAGGAAGTTTAAGTGAGGTCTGTGCTCAAGAAGGTGATGGATATCAGAATGTCTTCACTAGGTTCTTGCGAAGATCACAGTAAGTTTATTTTCTGTCACCAACCTATATTAATCAGCTTAGATTAATAATATGCCATATACTTCAATGTATTTTTCAAAGAGAAAACCAGTTGCTCTTTTAGCAGTATACAAGTACACATTTGTTGTTCCTTAACTTGTGTTACTTGTGCATGTTGGAGCATATCAAGCTCCATCCATATTTTGATGGATATGCTCAAACTTGATCAATAAGATTATTCAGTATCTTATCCATCTTTAGAAAAATGTCCGCAAATCATAAGAAGAAATTTAACCTTGATGGTTTAAGCTCATTTGATCTCTACTCTTGATGATCGATGAAAATGTCATTTATCTACGGTTTACTTTCAGAATACAAACTACCTTCTCTTGTATGCAATTCTCTGGCATGACATGCTTTTATACTCATACTCATTTCTTTTTGCTTGTATGCAGGAAACCTGACCACAGGACATCTGATCAAGGCACTTCTGGTGCGTATACTTGCACATAATATACTTATATCTCTTAATTTTTTTTGGGGGGCAATAAACAGATAATTAAGGATTATGGATAATAAACAAAGACAAGGACCTGTAAACTACACTTGAGCTATAGATATCCGAAATTCTATTTCCTTTGACATTTTGTTCTAATTATTTACTTTCAGGTTCTCCAGCACCAACATGCGCCTATGACATATACTGCTTTGGTAAAGTCCTACTCGAGCTAGTCACAGGCAAGCTAGGCCTCAGTGGATCCAACGACTCCACGACAATTGATTGGCTCAACCACACACTTCAATGCATCAGCTTATACGACAAAGAAACTCTTACAAAAATCATAGACCCTTCCCTCGTCTTAGATGAGGACCTCACCCAAGAGGTATTTGCGACAGCATACATAGCAAAAACTTGCTTAGATCCAAAACCATCTAGACGTCCTTTAGCAAGATACGTACTCAAAGCTTTAGAGAATCCTTTAAAGCTAATGAGATTGTATAGCTGTTCGAATTCAAATTCTGTTCGTTTGAGAAGTACATCATCTTGGGCTTCATGGAATGGGGCCTTTTTTGGAAGCTGGCGTCAGAGTTCGTCAGACGTAACATTGAGGAGGTCTTGTACTGTGAGGTCACAGGAGAGTTTGGGTGAGTGCTCTTTTTCGAGAAAGAGACATTCGACTGAGATTTTTCCTGAGCCTTTAGGTAATGCTTTTGGCGATGAGGACTTGAGAGAGAGAAATTGATTCTTTGGTGCAGTTTTCTCACCGGTGAAATCTCAGGCTAGAATTGTACATTGTGTGACTTATATCTGATTGTTCTGGTTTGCTTGCTGGTTGCTGTAAACGGATCATTGAGTGAGGTTTTCGTGCCTCTTTCCACAGGAAAATTTGGATGGAATATAGAGTATATGTCTCATCTTTGGTTTTAGACGGTATTTGTTTCTTCTTTGTCTACTATAAAATGACATAAGTCGATAAGATTTCAATCATCTTGTAGTAAGTAGTGATTACAGTCAGCAACATAAAGGACTGAGAGCTTGACATTAGGATGGGAGAATCCAATAAAAGAAGGAAATAAAAAAAAGGTGTTTCGGATCGAGGGGAATTTTGAAAATAATATTGTTCTAAGAATGATTACGAAGGGAGACATTCTTGGATAATATTTATAAGAATGAACCTTCTATTTACCACAGGCGTCAAGCACTATGGTTTTGCTTTCATGGTAATTTTGCGGGAACCTCATGTCTCAGGCTCATCAAACCCGAGTATGATAGCATCATCATTTATATAATTTTGAATTCCCTCGGTTCTATGCACTCAAAAAAAGGAAAACAAAAAACCTCGATCCTATGCAAATGAAGCCACGAACAGAATTTGAAAGAGAAAAACAAATCAAAATGTGAACAAAATCTCCTCCTCTATATTTAAAGGAGAATCCAAAGAGTTGTTGTTTATGCTACAATAAATCACACAGTGTAGCATGAACATTGAACCATTTCTGGTCCTCTACAGTCGAAGCTACTGCTTATGCTACAGTACTAAATCTAATATGCTCCTCCATGCTTAAAGTAATACAATAATTAAATCAAATATATTAAAACAAAAATAGAGATAAATTTAAAAATGATCCTCTACGGTCGAAGCTACTGTTTATGCTACAGTACTAAATCTAATCTGCTCCACCATACTTAAAGTAATACAATAATTAAATCAAATATATTAAAATTGTATTAAATCAAATATATTAAAACTCAGATGGAGATAAAATTAAAATATAGTATTTAAAAAAATAAGGAGCTGGGCTATGCGCAAAGTGCAGGCTAGTTTGACGAAATAACAAAAGAATAAGGTCCCACCGAGATTTGAACTCGGGTTACTGGATTCAGAGTCCAATGTCCTAACCGCTAGACCATGGGACCTTCGTATAGAATTTTCTACTAATAAATTGTAAACTTCGTCTCGTTGCCCACTCTTCCTCCCGTCGAAGACCATTAACTGACCTCTTTCCCCTCTTTTCTTCACTACCATTTCCCTTCCTCCTCCCATTTAACTAATAACTAAAGCTTTTCTCCGTCAATGTCACTCCTCTCCCTCCGCCGCGCCGTTCTCGCCCTCGCCCGCCGCCCCCGTCCCCTCTCAATAAGAAAACACCGCTAGTCCATTCGGCGGGCCCCACAACGGCCTCACCGCGCCGCCTACTCGCCGCTCCGGCCTCTCCGTCGCCGTCTAGAGAGCGCCGACGTCATGGAGGCGCCGCCGTCACAGAAGAGATCATCCCTGGCTTTCGCTTCTCTCGCTGCAGTTACCTCCAGAGCCTCCTTCGTCCCTCAGTCATCCGGTAATCTCACCGGCGAAACTCTCTACCTTTCCTTCACTTCGTTTATTTTATTATTATTTGTTTTTTTTAATGGTTAAGAGAGCTTGAACTGGGGAGGCATGGGCTAAAGCTTCTTCGAAGGAATCCGTCGTCGTTTACGCCGTGTCTTGATGGCCGGTATTTGCTTTTAGGGCCGGATAAAGAGTTGAATCACGCGGAGATTTCAAAGTTTTGTAAAAAGGACGCGGATGCTTATCCAAGGTGCAAACTTTCTCTTTTTAGGGGTTAATTAACTTCTAAACTCTATTGTAAGGATGATCAACTATCGAAGGTGTTTTATGTAGATAAATAGTAGTTATGCATGGAGTTTAATATTTGTGTTATTGCACGCATACTGTGATAATGTTATGATTGGATAAATACTAACTCAAAATGAACCTATGAGTGTTATTTTCTGATTGGAAACCAAAAAAATTAATGAAATAAACATCTATGTAACCGTTTTCAACCTAAACCGTCTCAAGATATGGATAACAACATAGAAGCTAGAAATACATAAATAATAGCTATTTCCAAGGGAGATAGTTTAGGAATGACTAAACACATGCCGCGTTTCTCCAACCAGTGGCAGTTGTTTAGTAGAATAGTATGTACGGATAGATTTGAGAATGGAGATGGAGCTGCTGATTAGATTGCTAATGTGATAACTGGCTTTGATAGTATCTTTTCTAACATTATAGGTCAGAGCTACTCATGAAAATTTTAAATTTTCATCTTATTTAATAGAGTTTTGTAAGTTTTAGAAAGATAGTTATAGGTTACTTTACATATGTACGTATGGTTTCCTGCAATGCAGGTATGAGGAACAGCTCGAGAAGTTTTGTAAATTTATGGAGTCTCTATTAGACTCACACCCCCCAGAAATTAGGCACGATGGAGGATCCTTAATGGACCAGGTTAAAGATAAGTTGCATAAGTCAGCATTCTGGAGTCATTTTCTCCAACATGCTTATAAATTGGGACAGAAGGACATGGTGTAAGTGTTTTTCTTTAGTCACAACCTTTCCTTCTCAGCAATTTTGATTGTTGATATATGTAAGATGCGTTTATTACCATACTTTATATGCTTCGAAATGTTCATTATTTTGTGGGCTAACATATTTGTTTTGACAGGGAATTTGTAGATCTTTTAGTTTCACCATCATCGAAGGTCTTGAATAACTGGTTTGAGGTTGTCATGCTTCATCTCTGCCATACTTTTCCAGTTTAAATTTTTATATGCCAGTTTGAATTTTTATACTATTCCTTTCAGTAGAATTATTATATGATCTGTTCTATTTTCAGCTCTTCTTTCTTTCTTTTTATTTATTTACTTATTTATAGTTTGCATAGTTGCTAAGTTCAGTTCTTTAAAACATAAAAAATTTCTTACACAACTGCAAATGATCTAAGAATACAAACCTGAGCAGTTTTGCATCTTAATTCCGTCTCTAGTTGCATTGAGCAATCCTCCCAACTTCTCTGACCATGCACACATCCCATCCTTCGTACATGCGTGCTTTGTATTGTACCAACAGCTGCCTTCATGCTAAAGGATGTACCACATGTTCATATTTCTCACTATTAAATGAATTAATAAACTCACCATCTTTTATCAACATAGTATGTCCTAGGAATTGTGAGGTATTCCACAACCTCCCTTCTAATCCACCCGCTTCAGCCACATCCACTAACCTAAAAAGCTGTACTAACTGAATTATTTGCTTCTTGCAGTCAGATGTTTTAAAAGCAACACTTGCTACTGATGCAGTGATTGGGAGTATGGTAATTATTCCTCAAAACATTTCTCGGTATATCATTAGAAATTGGCTTATTCTCTTTTCAGCATTTCTTTTTGTTTCATGCTTCTCTAAGGGAACTAAATTTTTTGATTAAATTCAGTTCCCATTTATTGGTAAAACATCTTTATTTGAAATTTATGGTTTGCTTTTTCTTTGGTCTAGCTGAGTGCATTCTGCTACATCCAAATTCATCTTGATTTTAGATGTTTGGCTTAGGTACACTAAACTTGTGATGTAGTTTAATATTTTCTTAATACAACAAGCCTCTTTATACAGTTTGTTTTCATGATGGAAGGAAGAGTACCTTATTGACGGTAAAGGTGTATGGTTAGGTAATAGATATCATATGGAACAAGTGTTGCTAATCACCAGCAAATTTATCAATCATGGTGGAGGTAAATATCAAGTTTCCCATGATTGGACCAAAATCACGAAGTAGTTCTAGCCCAGATAAGGTTTGGCTTCATTTTGATGGACAACCTATTTTTGACATATTTCATGGAACATAAACACCTCCAAATGAAAAATTAATCAAGGATCAAATCTGATTTTTGGATGTGGAGTTGTTGGTGGAAGAAACATAATCATATACGATTTCCATAATTGCATTTAATTATGACAATTCTACAAACAAGTGCATAACGGTTCGCTCTCTGACAGAAAATACCTAGCTTCCCAAGCAGGCACATATAGCTAGTTTTAAACTAGTAGGTAGCAGCTCATTGATCTCTTTATTCTTGTCTAATTATCATGAAGTGACATGCACATCTACGTCCATTTATGTTCTTATTTATTCCGTCTTTAGTTTCTTCATTCTTATTATTGGATATATGGCATTTCCGTTCATCTTGTATGGAAGAAAACAACTAAGTTATAAATCAATTTGTTTCATTAATCAGATTTCTACCTAATATTTCAAATTTTTTTCATACATGCACCTTTATAACTTTCTTTGTAAAACGCTTCTAGGCATCTGCAATATTTCTACCTTTTATTTTTCTGATTAAGGAATGCCCATCTGACTCCTGAAACTTTGATTCAGACAAACGTTCACACTCCTGGCTCAGGATATGTTTTGCTACATCATGTAATGGGGGAAACTGATGGTGAGCGTGGAGTATGGTCGTATGTACCTGAACTCTGGCTTAATTTTTGTTTTTCCATGATATATACTTGTTGAAGGATGGGCTTCTGAGGGCATGTAATTAGCGCATGGTCTCTTTCTTGATGCATGCATTGTGTAAGTTTTATAGTTCAGTCCACGAATTGAGTTAGCAATATGGACACATCATATCGCAGTATGATATAAATGTCAAATAAAGGCACATGGTTGCATAAGATTCATTTAGGACAAAATTTTCTTGTAAAGTGCACCAAAGCAAGATGTGATACATATCCAATGTACCATCATACAGCCAATGCAAACTATGGAGAGCATATGCTGCATTACAATTCGCAACAGGCCCAAAATTGATATATTGATATACTTCCTGATGAAATAACCTGCTAATATATAGATGAGCAGTAAGAGTAAGGCTATAACGGGGCGAACGTAATTATTGGTTGAGAATTGAGGAACCTTTGATGCGTGAAACATCTGGCAAGATGTTGCACCAGGGACTTGGTTGCTCTCTGTGGCTAGGTAGAAATGCAGTCAGATTTATTTCTTTTGTTTTTGGTCAAGCTGTATTTAGGTTACACATGTGTTTGGTCAAGTACTAAAGTGGAACTTCATTTCCATGTGATATCCATGTCAGTAGAAGTATATGTGCAAAAAGAAGATGATACAGATATTCTAATACTGAAAACTTACTAATTTAAATTGGATGCCTAATTGACAACATGTCAACGACATTCGCTTGGTGTAATAAAAGATGAGGCTGAATAAGACTATGGTGGCTTCTCACTTGGCTCTCATTTCCAAGTGTTTTTTGTCAATAGTCAATACTATAGGTTTTAAAAGCTACTGACCGGACAGATAAAAGTAGCAATATAGTTGATAGTTTCCGAATCTTAATCATAGATGCAGAAATATGGTGCTACTTTGCACTTGGTGTTAAAATTAGTAAATATTTTTAAATTAAGAATCTCAATCAAAAGTAAGAAAGATAAATGCTTATCGCCTCAAAAAAGACGATTTTAGTAGAAAATGTTTGTATGAGGAGTCAATGAGATAAGTTGGAGGGAAAATCAGTGAAAGTATAAATCTGAATATACTCCTTGACGCATTCTTTCTTTTCTTCATCTTAGTTGGAAATATCTCTCTGAGGAAGGTAAATATGTTGTGTAGGTATGTTGAAGGCGGAATGGGCTCAGTGTCCTTGGCTATAAGTAATTCAGCTCGTGAAGCTGGAGCTCATATTTTCACCAATGCGGAGGTATGCTTCTACTATTTTTTGGTTCATACGTGCATCCTTTAGAATAGCCAAGAATAATTTTCTTTTTCCAACTTTTAGTACACTGGTCTTCTGCAACCCTTTTTATCACAAGAAATTTCACTGCCTGATTATATCATGTTTGAATTTATTTTTAGCATGTCCTTAAATATGTTTATATCCTATCTGTTCCTTACTAACATCTTGTCAAATGGCAGTAACTTTTTTACAGTTTTGTTATTAGGTTTCCCAAATGCTAGTGGATGAGAAAACTGGTGAAGTAATCGGGGTCAGTCTTGTTTCATGTTAATCACTGAACCTGGTTTTCTTTTGTTTTCTTTTATTTTCTTATAATTTCATGCACTTGGTACAATTACCTAGGTACAACTGGTTGATGGAACAAAGGTGCATTCTTCAGTTGTTTTGTCAAACACAACTCCATATAAGACTTTTGTGGTAAGGTTAATTATTGATTATCATTTTCAAATATATTTGCAGAATCCATGTTATGGAGCTCACCAGTAAATTTTGCCCTCACTAGATTTTCTAGCCAACCTCAAGAATTTGAGATGAAGTTGCCTTATGGTTGTATACCTTATTGATACACATCTACTAAGTCTTGGTTCGTTGATATGGTTTTACATAGTGGTTTTTTTTGGAAATTTTTTTTTACCCCTTCACCTATGCAGGAGTTACTGCCTCCAGATGTCCTTCCCGAAGAATTTCTCTCTGCTGTTAAAAATATCGACTACAGTTCAGTAAGATTCTCATACTAAAAGATCTTTCACTGCCAAGTAATGGATGCCTTGTCTTCAAGATATTGATACATATGTCATGCCTTTCCCTTCTTTGAACTCTTTTAGAGGGCTAATATAATATAAACTATTGGAATTTATTTTTGATGTTGAAGATATTAACATGGTGATTGTTGTGAATCCAACCAAGTTCTTGCAGAACAATTTATTTCTTATGTATTATTGGCTATACATATACTTACTTTTCCATGTTTTAAAGTATTTTTAAGTGGTTGACAAAGTAATAAGGCCTTTGCTAATGATTTTTAGATGTGGAATAATAGATACTTTGAAGGACGTGCTTCATCTGTTTCTGTTACATATAAGAATCTCCAAGACTAAAATATGCATATCAAATACAGGTCTTTCATGCTCATAAATTGTTTAAAGAATTCACCTATAAGAATCATATATGGTAAATTTGGATAGTAGGTATTGATGCGACTATCATTAAAAAATAAGTTGAGATAATGGTGGAATATACGTATGATTTGTTGAAATTTGTGGAATTGTCTCTTTCATTGACTTATTTTTATAAAATGGATAATCGTTGTTTGAATTACTCCTAGTTGACAGTATTTGTTCTTGTGCGATTTAAGTCCTTTGCTTTTTATTGATCACATTTTGGATGAAAAAAGCACAAAACGCATAGAATGATGTTTGTTCTTAGTGTATCTATGTCTTGGCTTATTCTATTTTCCAGAGATCAGCATGTAGGTGCAATGTACTGTATCATAACATGTGACCATATGCATATTCAATTTTTCAGAAATCATCATGTATGTATAGTGCATTATATCATAACATGTGATCGTATTCATATTTATCTCTTCTTGTAATTTAAATCAAATGCATAATCATACCAAAAAGGCAGCTCACATTATTTATGTCATATGGGTACTTCTGCTTAATGATATTTTTAGATGACAGAACAAATTTATTACGATATTTATGTACCAAACATATATTAACGTAGGAAACCTTATTATTGAGTTGTCCATTCAATATAGTACCAGATTATGAAATTGGAACCATGCAATTTGATTTACAGTTTTTTTGGGTTGGTGGGGAAAAACTACGATCACAGTTTTAATGTTTTTATTTTATACTGCTCTCAATTTCCAGTTTTAGATGGTTTTCTGGACGTGACTGTAAATAAGTTCTTATGTGGTTGGATTAGATATTCTTATGTTCAATAATTGTATCACATTCTTTCCCCTTCAATAATCTTTACCCTACCATGGAGCTTAGTTCCCTATTATGCTTACTCATACAGTTTTCCCTCGCGGAAACTGTATTAAACTACTTCACTGAAAACATGTTATGCAATGAAAATACCTTAGCTAACGTTACATTGTCCAATGACAGGGGACAACAAAGATTAACTTAGCTGTTGATAGGTTGCCTCAGTTTCTATGCAGCAATAGTGATCCTGAGGCTGGCCCTCAACATGTGGGCACCATACATATTGGTTCTGAAAGGTATTCTGACAATTCATTTCACATTTATGGCTACATCATTTAGAAGTTTTTTTTTAATTAGTAACATCATTTAGAAGTTACTCTTAGTAACAACTCGCTTCATACTTTTGTCTTATCCATGTGGTAATTTTCAAGGAAAACTTCATGCTTTAAGCTACTTCTGATATTTCTACATGTTAACATCACTGGTAATTTTGCCCGCCAACAGTAGTAGCTGAATCATGAAGCTGACTCTTTTATTTCTATTCACTTAGGTATGAATTTTGAAGTTCTCTCCAAAATTTGTAACTTAACCCAAATACTCAAATAAAAGAAACACCCCAAAAATAAAACAAAATAAAAAATATGTAAAAAGTGAAAAATGAAAGTATTCCACTCTTATAGATTTCTGCTGGACTATCCTAAAAAAATTTCGTTGAACTGCTCTGGGAGATTATATCTGTCTTCCTGATTTATTATTGTCTTTCTCAAGTATGGAGGAGATTGATTTAGCATACAAGGATGCTTTGAATGGTGTACCTTCAAAGAGACCACTTATTGAAATGACAATTCCCTCTGTCTTGGACAAGACCATTTCTCCACCAGGTATGTCATTCTTTTATTGTTTTTCAATACTATCTATATTCTTTTATTGATGCAATGCATGGTTCTTAAGTTTCTATTGGAGTTACTTTAAGCATATCACAATTTGGTCTTTAGATAGCTATTTATCAACTATTATCCAGCTATTGCTTATTATTTATCTATATAAGGAAAAAAAATTCTATCATTAAACAAGCTATCTAGAGATTGCTTAAAAGATGAAATTCTAATTTAGATATAAGAATTTTGCAAAAGCTGTAAACTTAAGTATGGCTTAAAGCCACATCCTTTGCAATACTTTGATCGGAATTAGTTCTAGGGTATGTATTTTTTTATTATAGAAGAATCTGCTCAATTTATTAGAAACCAACTTGTTCAACTCTATGACCATTCTAATATACATGATTATTGTAAGCGACATATTTTTTCTGCAGGTCAACACGTTGTTAATCTCTTTGTCCAGTACACACCGTACAAACTCTCAGAAGGCAGCTGGCAGGACCCTAGAATCAGGGTAGGTTTGATATCCCCTCATACATCATTTCATCATTAATAGTTTCAGCACAACAGAATTATGTAATTGTTGTATGAACTGTAGTATATGAAGTTTATGCATGTTTTTCTTGGAGCCCCACTTTGGTGAAAGCAGTACTGGGATGGGTGGCATCCTGTAAAGGCCTTGTTGTTGCTGTCTTCTACTGACGGTTATAACAATAGAACTTCAAAATCGACCGTATGGAAGTGTGTTTAAATTAGTTTGATACCTGGTACTCATCATGTTAAACTGTTCAACACTGTACTTTCCTCTCCTATTTTGACTACTCATGGTTCCACAAATTCCGGGCCATTCTAATAATATGAAGCTAGTGCGAATACTATCTATTTGCATAGCAGATAAGCTATATAGATCCATTATTCTCTATACGTATGTAGGTCTTTTTGCATTAGGTATTTAATTTGTTGAATAATAAGATTTTCTTACCTTTTTCCAGACATTTTTGTATTTGAGCAAGTGAGCTACTTATTTGTTTGCTTGTTATGAATATTATGCTTAACATGGGCTGGCATTTAAATTTAGTGCTACGCTGTATGCACTCTTGCTGGTGGACGGTGGGGGGGGGGGGGGGCGGTCTAAGCGTTTTTATTTTGTTTATCTGCAAGATCTGTTCATACTAAAAGCTGGTATATAGACTAGCAGTGTCCCAATTTATCTTGGATGGACTTGACTGTTCACAAAAAGGGGCACTGCTAGTATGCTTAAATTGTTTGTTACTAGAAGTTGCCCCAGCACCTGAGAGACTTACAGTGTGCTATTTACAGGAATCATTTGCTCAGAGATGTTTCTCCTTGATCGATGAATATGCACCAGGATTTAGCTCATCTGTTCTTGGCTATGACATGTTGACGCCACCTGACCTTGAGAGGGAAATTGGCCTTACAGGTAAGTTTCACTAGTTGGATTTATCCAGTTACGACAGTCTGCTAGGAATTTAGAGAAAACCTGTTTCCCCTATGCTTACCTTCTTTCGTTAAAACCAAATTTAAAGTACTGTAAATAATCTTCAGTTAATGAGAGTTAGATGCCTTATGTATGCATCTGGCGAACTTTTTCAGGGGGAAACATTTTTCATGGTGCAATGAGCTTGGATTCTCTATTCTTAATGCGGCCAGTTAAAGGATGGTATGTTCTAATTTGAGAAAAGAGTATGCTATTATAGCTTATTCTTACATTGCGTTCTAGAGCTATGTTGACATTACACGATTCCCTAAAATGAACACTATCATACATGAGAAACAGTTCATTGGCTGTGTACAGTGTGCCGATAAAGATATGAAGGAGATTTTAATGCATCTACTTGAGAATAACTGAGGACAACTATGTTACATCTCCCCTAGGCCTCCCAGAATGTTCAAAATTTCTGCATTCTACTAGCTCGCTTAACATGGGTTTCTTTCTAAAATTTTGTTTTCGTGTGCATGCATCTTTAATCTAGTTCAAGTCACTGTAATATATTTGAATGTAGATATGAGAGCATCCAAAATGATTCACTACATCCCATGGGGTTTTTTCCCTTCTTTTCTCTCTCTCTCTCTCTCTCTCTCTCTCTCTCTCTCTTCAGGTCAGGCTACAGGACACCTCTGAAAGGGTTGTATCTATGTGGGAGTGGCGCACACCCTGGAGGTGGTGTGATGGGTGCACCTGGGCGTAATGCTGCTTCTGTGGTTATCCAAGACCTGAAAAGTTCAGCAACTACCTGAAATGAATCCCGGTTTATTGGTAAGAATATTCATATAAGTTCCACTTTGTGCTGTGTGCATCTATTAAGAACTTGAATCTGACTCGGGTTTATGCTCGATATGATGACAGTTTGGTTGCGCTATGTTATTCACCTATCCCAGTATCACATGATCAAAGCTCTGTGCCTTTGAACAGAGCATCGCTACTTGATGAGTTGTTATTGATTGCTTCTGCGGCCAAAGATAAATTATGTACCAGAGGCAGAGGCCACTTCTGTAACCAAAGACGAGTACCTTAGCTTCGCATTAGTTCTAGTTACTTTGTATTGAGCCTTTGATGGGCTTAACTTACATTGTTTCTGATAATTTATCTATACTTATAAAAGATAATACCCGTGTCAAAACTTTTAATTTCCTATTTTGCCCTTTTAAATTTTGATAATTCGCAATTATACCATTGGTTATAATTAATCCTTAAATAATTATCCATAACTATTTATTAAATGCACCTCCTACTCTCCCTAAGAATATTTGGTCAAGAATAAAATTATTATCAATAGTTTATAATCTAATACTACATACAAATGATTATGTCTATATTTAGAATTTTAGAATGTTAATGTTCACTTTTTGGTCTACCTTAGTTGCATGTCGGGGGGCTTGCGACTCTTCTATCTAAGAAGTTGAAACGATCGTATTGGAGGGATATCAAAGTTTAAACCATGGGAGGATCATAGTTTTGTAGAAACTATCTAATGTAAAATTAGAGAATGATGCAGTTCTTTCTTTATTGTTTTGGGTCTTTTGAGCATCAGTTACTAATGGGTCCAAAATTTTAGCTCAAGACTATGAATTTTTTCCTAATCAATCACAAAATAGTATAAGACAAAGTTAAACAAATAATTATAATAACAAGATGTAGAGTCTAGACTTTTAAAATTCAATTTGAATCAATGCATAAACTATGAACCAAATTAACTAACAAACAATCCTTTTTATTTTTATATACTTCTCTTTCATCTCTTGAGTGTAAATTAGCTCATACATTTTCTTCCACTCACCATAATACCTACTAAGTCAAAACCATACAATTACAAAAGAGAAGGTCAACTAGAACTCCATTTGGATTAAAATAGAAAATTTAACAGAGCACAAGATGTCGACTTCTTTCGATGATCAAATTTGCTCAAGCATGTGTTAGCATATTAGAATTTTGAAAATAAGTTTCGAAACTCAATTATTGTAGAAATGAGTCAATTTGGTACAATTTAAATTGGTACAATCAATTTGGTGATTAGTTTTCTTTTTGGAGACATTAGGATCACTCAAATTTCAAAATGTATTATAAAAATACTAAAATGAACAAATGTATCTTAAAATCTCATTAGATTAAATATTTTTAAAATTCAACCTCCTAAACGTATTTCACGGTATAATTTAAAAACACATTGTATCAAAAAAAATCTATGATGTTAATATCATGGAGTAGGGGCACGATTAGGAATGCATTAAGCTAATTGTATTATCCTTTTGCTGTTACATTGAAAAGTACAAAATAAACTTTCATATCATGATTTCAGACAAAAAACATTAAATAAATACTACAACCAGCATATTTACATGCATCCAAAATAAATGTCATGATTTCAGACAAAAAACATTAAATAAATACTACAACCAGCATATTTACATGCATCCAAAATAAATGTTATATTTTTATTAATAAATACTACAACCAGCATATTTACATGCATCCAAAATAAATGTTATATTTTTATTATAAATAAACCCATTACTAAAGTGATATCTTCTTAAGCTTTGACTTTTTAACATTCTAATTAATTACTTATTTTATATGTTACAATTTTTTTCACTTATTTCTCTCATCCTCTCCTTCCAACCACCTAACTTCTATTTCTGTGAAACGAAGTGCTTGGAATGACATTAAAGATGAAATAGATTTCTATGGAAATGCTATCGCAATGATTCAATGCAACTTGTGAACTAGAGATTGATAAAATGCATATGAATGACATAATCAGTCTCTCTTGTAATTGTAAATACCATAATTATAATTTCCTTAATTTAGTGTAAATACCATAATTAAGTAGTATTGATTTATTTTCTTACTAAAATTTGTTCATCGGTTCCATTTTGATAGTTTTTGCTCCCTTTTAACTATAAACTTTAGCATTATGATTATTCAATTTCTTTAATGTTCGTTTGAATGCGTTACACAAAATTTAAAATCTCATGTTAATAATTAAATCGACAGAAAATAAATATAATTCAAAACCAATTTGAATTTTTATTTTATTTGGACCGACATGAAACCGAGCTTGACTTGAAAGTATAGTGTTACGAAAGTGAAAAATACTTGAAAAATAAAAGGAAAATGAATAATTAAAATCAATCAGCTAAGATGATTGATTAAAAATAGTCTAGAGCGAAACTAAAGAGAATATAAAATTTATTCCTAATCATTAATAGACTTCATTAAAAATTATAAACTAAAAATTAATGTCAACTCTAGTATATTTTATATAATAAAAGCATCCACATAGTACTAAAAAAAGTTCATGAAAAACCTCTTCTAAAGATTCCTTATTTACTCAAAAAATTAAACAATTCTTTAAAATATTCAAGAAATAATAATGTCATTTATTTCCTTCTGTTTTATTTTTTATTGAGTCGAGATCAATCATTCTTCACTTTTATCCTTTTCCTAGGCAATTCTAGAGTAGTGTCTTTATCAACTACATCGATTGTGACATCAAGCTAGAGCTAAATTTCTTGTGTTGTTATATTTCTCTAGACTCGTTCATCTTTTATCTTCTTATCTTATACATCATAAAAAAGTTGAATATATTTTAGTTGTTCAATATAAACTTCTTGAAATACGAACTTTGATTATTTTTCTGTTTTAATGAGAATAAATGTTAATTTCATATATATATATATATATTATATATATATAATTTTTGTGTTTCTAATTTATTACTTAAATAAGATTAGGAGTTACCTCTTTTTTCTCTACAATGAATTCTTCTGTTGTGCATTCTATAAGAGTTTCGCTACATCAAGTAATGTTATTTTTGCTCTGTCCATGTCATTTTTCATGAGGATCTGAACTAAATAACTGCATTTTTCACCGTCAATTTGCCTTAGATTATAATGCCAATATTTTATTTTGATATGTTTATTTCATTTAGAAGGGATATTGCTTAACCTTGATAAACGTTATTGGTTATTTTGTGACATTTATCATTTTGGCACTCTTATTAGCATCTCTATCCACCTTCTTGTATATTAAAGCAGTTATATCGATGATCTCAATCAATCAAGA